AAAAAAATACAGAGAGATGCAGTCAGGAAAGACGGACACGGCTGAAAACCCACACTAGTTGTTCCATCTGCTAAAACACAGCCCCTCCCTCACCCTGTGAAATGGTGCGTCTCACGCCCACAGCAGCTCAGAGGACTGAGAGGTGACCACGTCACAAGGAGGGTGCTGATGGGCAGGAAGAGCCTCAGAGAAGAGTCCACCAGCCCGCCTTCCCTGCCCAGCCATGGGGCCCACACTCCTCTGCCTGGCGACCCTGTGTGTCCTGGGAGCAGGTCAGTGGTGACCCTGTGGGACTCCAGTGTCAGGACTTCTCCTGGGGCTGCACCACCAGCTCCTCCTGCGCTTTTCTCCAGCTTCTGTCTCCTTCCTCCACAGGCTCCGTGGACACCGAGGTCACCCAGATTCCAGGACAGCTGGTCAGAGGGACAAAGCAGAAAGCAAGGATGGAGTGTGTCCCCATCAAAGATCATTACCGTGTTTACTGGTATCGTCAGAAGCCAGGAGAAGACCTGAAGTTTATGATTTCTTTTCAGGATGAAGAAGGCAGTGATAAATCAGGAATGCCCAGTGAGCGTTTTTCAGCTAAATGCCCCACAAACTCACCATGTAGCATGGAGATCAAACCCACGGAGCTGGAGGACTCAGCCGTGTACTTCTGTGCCAGCAGTGAGTCCACAGCGCTGCAGGGTCAGCTGTTCCTGGGTCACAAACCCATCCAAACCCAGCTCAGGAAACAGGTGGGGCCCGAGGTTGGTACAGGGTAACAGAAACTCAACTAACCACGCAGTCAATATAGAAACACCCCAGTGAGGTGAGAGGTAGGAACACCCCAGTGAGGTGAACGGAGAGCCCAAACCACGACCATTCTACTGAGTTGCCTATAGGTCAGGGTAACCCCGAGTGTTAGAGTTGAGCTGTGATGAAGCAGTAGTTATAGACATGCTGGGAACAGGAAGGAAGTTGAAAGGAGGCTGAATCACAGTCTTTTAGAAAATGCAAAATGGTTTTCAGCAGCAGGTCTGGGGAAGGGGTGCCTGGAGCCATGTCTGGCCGCAAAGGTGGTAAGAAATAGCCCCTGAAACAGCCCAAGAAGCAGACCAAGGAGATGGAAGAGGCAGATAGGCTTTCAAGCAGAAACAGAAAGAAGAAACTTGAGGAACTAAAAACGAAGGCCGCTGGCAAAGGTCCCTTAGCCACGGATGGAATTAAGAAATCTGGTAAAAAATAAGGCTGAATTCTGTACCGCCCGGAATGAAACCAACTTATTTGAAAAAAAGAAAATACAGAATGTTTATTTCTTTCTAGAGATAAAACTATCAAAAATGTATATTCAGACTCAATTCCTTGCCGTCGGGTTAGAACTACCTCAGAGCTGACTTGCCCTGGGTTCTGAGGTTGTACACCTGCCTGTCTGCTTCCTGTGCAGAGGCCTGTAGCCCGGAACAGCCAGAGGGCACTGCCTTTGGGTCAGCAGTGCTGCTTCCTGTGCACAGAGATCCCTACGTGCACATCCACGCAAACCTAAATTCAAGAATAGAAATTCAGACAAGTATTGTTATCAGAGAGTAATCTGAATATGTTGCAAAACATTATTATACATTTTCGAAAGCAGGTAAATTTTAAGATCTTAATCTAATGTAGTATATTCAGATCAGTATTAAGATGTTTTGTATTATGCAGACAACAGCCCAGCTCCCTCCTCTCTACCTCTGCCTTCACTGTTTTAAGTACCTTTTCTTCTTAGTTTGTATTGTCAGTTATTATTCTGAAATATATAAGAACTCAGAGGAATAGTTACGATTAGCGGCCAATGCCCCATACTCGATTTCCTGCTCCTGTCAATTCCTGGGTCTCATGATTGGAGTCAACTCATAGGTGACCCTCCAGCAGATCTTCTGAGTCAGTGCATCACACAGGAGGAGATTGTCCAGCCTTCCTCCCACGGAGCAGCCACTGGATTTGAATCTCATGCCCTAGGGTTGGCGGCGCAGTTCCTTATCCGCTAGCCCACCATATATATATATGAATTTTCTCAAGTGCTGCCCTTGAGAATAGCTTCTATAATGCCCCTGCCTGAGATGTGAAGTGAAGCATCCCAGCACTGATACCACGCACTATTGGGAGAGATCATTGTTCTTTACGTGCTGTGTGGACCTCATTGTAATTCCGAGCTGGGATACGATTCCTGAAGCCCTGAACTTCCACAGAGAACATGCGTCTATCACACTGCACGCAGGTCATGTATATTCCAATAACGCCCCTCAGAGACCACACAGGTTGATTATAGTGATGGAGGCAATCGATAGTGAAGATCATTAATAGAAGCATTGTTGTTGTTAAGTGCCATCAAGTCGTAGATGACTCATATCGACCCTATGAACGAAAGACCTGAACACTTGTATAACTTTCATTGTTTCTCCAAGTTCATAGAGTTCCAGAGGCAAGCTATTTCAGAAGTGGATGCCACTCCTGCTTCCAAGCTTGTTTTAATCGGGGAGCTCCACCAAACACCGTCCACCATGGGTAACCAGTATCACATTTGACACATCACTGTCACAATGTTTAGCATCACAGTAACCACGAGTTACCTCTGTACAGCAAATGGACAGACCAGTGCTATACCACTTAGAAGAATGACCAAAAACAATTAAAACCAGGTCTGAGGGCTGCAGATTAAAATCACCCACCTTTGACTTGGTAGCAATAATAGAAGTAGTAGAGAAATTATATTCTAATATAAGAACTAAAACATAGTCATGGTGGCTACATGTCATTTTCATCATCTGGCATGTAAAGAACTTGAAGGCGTGGGTTTCAAGTCTTCCTACATACTGTTTAACAAGGTATCTTTGACAATCTGAGAAAAATCACACACGTAGGTAAAGTGTTTCTGAGGAGATAGAATCTTCCTAAAGGCCCACATCCTTGACCTCCAGCAAGGACATTCCCTTCTAAGTCAGAAACATTTAACTTGGTCTTAAAAGGAATGGTCTATATAAACTGCAGTTGTAAATGGGGGATGTTTGAAAAACAATCCCGTACTGCTGTGGGACTGGTTATTTATGTTATTAAGGAATCATTTTTTCAGGGAGCTCTGGTGGCCTAGTGGCAAGACAACTGCACTGCAATCCCAGAGGTATGCAGTTCAAATCCACCAGACGCTCTGCTGGAGAAAGAGGGGGCAATCTCCTCCCGTACCAGTCAGATCTGATTTGACGGTACACATAAAAATAATACAATAAAATTTAAGAAAAAGGAATCATTTTTTCTTGTTATTATCATGCAGTGTTGACTGTTGGCACTAAGACTCTAACTTCACTTCTCAGGTAAGAAACTCTCTTAAACATAGGTGTGCAGAACAAATTCAAGAGTATAAAGCTGTTTATAGTGGGAAAGTCCTTGGCAAAAGGCCATTGGTTAATATAAAACTTATATTAATACAATGGAATAATTAGTATTCCTGGAAATGAATTCTATCAAATACAAGCACCACTATCAAGCAATATCAGAAAGAGAATATATTAAATGGACAAAAGCATGTCACAAAAAGGCACGTCCAGAATCACTCGACTCAGATAAAACACAAAATGAGAAGCCAATGAAGTAAAGTTCAGGTTGAGGTCAAGTGGAGGAACAGAATGTTGTTGTTGTTGTTGTTGTTGTTGTTGGTAGGTGCCGTCAAGTCAAGGACAGCTCACAGTGACCCTGTGAAGAACAGGTCTGACCCTGACCTGACCCGACCTGTGGCATCTTCATCTCTGACACTAGAAACAGTGAGAAATGCTGACAAGAGCAGCAGGTACTTAAAACGCCCGCCACAGTCTCCCTTATACTGGTTCTTTCAAATAATGGTATTCACATCATTGTTTATTTACACACATTGCATCTTTTACACAAATATTATTTATTTCGTAATATCAATATTTAATCTTTTTTCATGTAAATTTGAGTAGATGTACTTGGAATTCTGCTATCCCTTACCTGGTTGTTCTGAGCAACTGTCCTGTTGCTCAGGGGAAATTTGGAAGAAGAAACCAAAAGAGAGAGAAGAGCAGTTAAATAAAAAGCAAATAAATAAGGTGTTGCCGCACTGCCACTGAGTCTGAACCGACTCATAGCCGCCCATGCCGTGGGCTTTCAGAGGCTGGAAACTGCAGTGGAGAAGACTGCCCGTCTTCCTGTGCCTGAGCAGGGGTTAGACTCAAGCTGCCTGCCTTCGGGTTAGTGGTGCGACTCTTTACCTACTTAGGCCACAAGAGTCCCCAGAACAAAGTGTGGGTGGACTAAAAACACATAGTGAAAGAGCAGAGCCAGGAAGAAAGGAGTGGATAAAATACACACTCACTATTTCGTCATATAACACAGAGCCCCTCCCTCAGTCTGTGAAGTGGTTGTGGGAGGGCAGTCACGTCACATGAAGGGTGCTGATGGGCTGGAGGAGCCCCAGAGAAGAGTCCACCAGCCCGCCTTCCCTGCCCAGCCATGGGGCCCGCAATCCTCTGCCTGGCGGCCCTGTGTGTCCTGGGAGCAGGTCAGTGGTGACCCTGTGGGACTCCAGTGTCAGGACTTCCTCCTGGGGCTGCACCACCAGCTCCTCCTGGTTTTTTCTCCAGCTTCTGTCTCCTTCCTCCACAGGCTCCGTGGACACCGAGGTCACCCAGACTCCAGGACAGCTGGTCAGAGGGACAAAGCAGAAAGCAAGGATGGAGTGTGTCCCCATCAAAGGACACAGTTATGTTTATTGGTATCGTCAGAAGCTGGGAGAAGAGCTCAAGTTTATGATTTATTTTGTGAATGAAGAAGCCAGTGATAAATCAGGAATGCCCACTGAGCGGTTTTCAGCTCAGTGTCCCAAGAACTCACCGTGTAGCATGGAGATCGAGCCCACGGAGCTGGAGGACTCAGCCGTGTACTTCTGCGCCAGCAGTCAGTCCACAGCACTGCAGGGTCACCTGTTCCTGGGACACAAACCCATCCAAACCCAGCTCAGAAAACAGGTGGGGCACGAGACTGGTGGAAGTTCTAGAAACCTGACTTGAAAGAGCACACACCAAAGGAAAATTTTTTTAAAAATATTCCAGATGAGCAAAAAGCCAAAAACTAACAAGCCTGTTATTGGGTTGATTTCAGCTCAATATGACATCATGTACGGCAGGTTAGAACTGTACCATATTTACCATCTCTGCTATACGTAGGCCCTTTACAGTCCCAGAATCAGTCCTTATCACTGGGTCTCCTTCTCCTTCACTGACCCTCTGCCTTTTCAAGTATGTTACCTTTGTCTAAGAAGTGAACCCTCCCAACAATATATCAAGTTCATGGTCCTTGCCTTCAACGAGCATCCTGATTGCACTTCTCCCAGGACAAATCTGTTCTTAGTGGATGTTCCTAAGATACTGTCCATCAGAACAATGCCTGTAGGACTGTTTACTGAATTACTCCTCACTGGGAACTGGGATATCTCAAACTAATAGCATTTACTGTTGTGAAGAATCCTTTCAAAGTATCTACCCATGTAGGAAGAAACAACAGAAGACATAAATAAAGGGGGAAACCTAGAAGTAGAGAACCAGCAAAATACTGCCGAAGATCATTAAAAAACAGCTGGAACAGTACATAGATAGGGAATTTCCAGAAGTTCAAGCAGGATTTAGAAGAGGCTGTAGCACCAGGAATATCAATGCTGATGTCAGATGGATTCTGGCTGAAAGTAAGGAATACCAGAAGAATGACTATTTGTGCTTTATTGACTATACAAAGGCATCTGACTGTGTGGATCATGACACGTTGTGGCTGACAGTGAGAAGAATGGGAATCCCAGAGCACTTGGTTATGCTCAGGAAGAACCTATACCTGGATCAGGAGGGTGTTGTACAAACAGAGCAGGGGAGCACTGCATGGTTTGGAATTGGGAAGGGAGTGCATCTTGGAGGTATTCTATCTCCATATCTATTCCATCTATGAAGAGCTCTGCAGCTCAGGATTGGAGGAAGACTCCTTAATAACTGTGTTATGCAGATGACACAACCTTACTTGCTGAAAGTGAGGAAGACTTGAAGCACTTTTTTGCAGAAGATCAAGGAAAGCAGCCTTCAGTATGGATTGCATCATAATATCAAGAAAACAAAGATTCTCACCACTGGACCAATAGGCAGTGTCAGGATGGATGGTGAGGAGATTGAAGCTGTCAACAGTTTCATCTTGCTTGGATCCACAATTAACACCCTTGGTATGAGCAGTCAGGGAATAAGGAGATGCACTGCACTGGGAAAAACTGCAGTTAGGGACCTTTCCAAATTATTGAGGAGTAGTGATGTCAGTTTGATGACAGCCAAGAAAACGAATAGGTATGTCTTCAAGAGGGTGCAGCCGCAGTGCCCTTTGGAGGCAAGAATGATGAAGCTTCACCTCACACACTTCAGGCATGTTGCTAGGAGGGTCTATTCCTTGGAGAGGGACATGGTGCTGGGAAGGGTGGAGGGTCGGCGAAGGAGAGGAGGACCCTCGACCAGGTGGACTGACACGGTGACCGCTGCAGTGATGGCACAGGACAGGACCAGGCTCAGATCTTTTGTTCGTAGGGTTGCTATGAGTCATCTCAACTCGATGGCACCAAACAACAACAACAGAGAACCAGAGAAAAATATATTGATAAAGAAGTATTTGAACAGCTACGGAAGAGGGTGCAAATGATGGAAGAAGCAATGGAAACCAACAAGAAAGCAGATGCTCCAGAGACACGGGGCCAGAAGAAATAGATGGATGAGGAGGAACTGCACAAATGTGGAAGAAAAGAAAGTGCCTACCATGTAGATCTCCCTGTGATTCCTTTTTGGAATATCATTCGTGATGATGCTGTTTCTTACCACCTAGATGTCGTTATTCAGATATCACAGCAGTTTTCAGACTCACCGTGATGACCTTATTAAATGAATTTTAAATATATGTATAGTAACATATAATTAATTAAAAATGTTGTTATAACAGTATATCAAAATAATTACTATCTTTTTTTCTATATTCCACTTAATGCACTTAAACCATTCTTCTGAGAAGGGTCCAAGGTTCCCCAGACTGATAAAGGGGCCCACGATGAACAAGAGTGAGGATCCCTGAATAAGGAACAAGGTCCTCAGTGACACGAATGTGATGGAGACACACCGTGGAATCAGTCTTCCCAGCAAACCCTCTTCTCCAGCCTCTACTGATCTTCACATTTCCTCATGGCTCCCTCTCTGACTCACGGCCTCCTCTCCTCTCCTCTCCTCTCCTCTCCTCTCCTCTCCCTAACTGATTTTATTGCTGGAGCTACAATGACTTGTTGTTGCTGCGAGGTTCGTGGCAATCCTGAGAATAACAGATTGAAACCCTGCCCTGTTCTGTGTTGCTCTCATGAGATCTGCCATGTTCAAGTCCACTGTGGCAATCACTATGTCAGTCCACCTCATTGTGGGTCTTCCCCCTTTCTGCTGACCGTTTGCTTTTCACAGTGTGATAAGAACTTCCTCACAACATGCCCACACTACGTGAGATGAAGTTTTTCCATCCCAGCCTCTAAGGGGCACTCGGATTTCACTTCCTCCCAGACGGAATTCTTGCTCTCTTGGCAGTGCCACCCCTACAACCCAAAGGACTCAACTGGTGGTCTTGATCCATTGTCCAACCTTCACGTGAATGTGAAACGCCTGAAAATACCAGAGAGATCAGATGCACCTTAGTCTGTACACTGACATCCTTGCTCTTTGGCACTTTGAAAACTATTGACAGAAGGTGCGTTCAATGCAGTATGTCTTCTGATTTCTTGATGACTGCTACTAAGTGTGCTGATTGTGGATCCAAATAAAATTAAATCCTTGGACATTTCAAATGCTACAATAAGCATCTTCTTAATGTCAAATATTGAACACTATTCTATAAAATTGGGAAGGAGATATTGGCATTTCCTCTTATCCTTTTTTATTCAACATTAGGTTGGAAGTCTTAGTCAATGTAACAAAATGTAGTAAAAATCTAAATACTAGAAAAGGTGAGTGTACTTCTCTTTATAGCTTTCATGGTTGTACTGGAGAACTAACCAAAAGGTCAGCAATTTGAAGCCACCAACCACTCCACAAACAAAAAGATGAGCAGTCTTCTATAGAGATTTCCAGCCTCAGAGACCTGGTGGGAGGTTACTGCATGTCAGAACAGACTCAATGACAGTGAGCGCTTTGTTTGTCTCTAGAAGATCTATGAAGTTCATGAGCAATGTAGCCTGAACAACAGCTATGGATAATAGCTAAACGTAGCCAGATTGCATGACCAAATGTCAATGCAAAAAGCCACATTTTTTAGGCTAATTACAAAGTATTTTAAAGTAAACTTTAGAAAAGAATACAACTCACAGCAGCATCAATACAGAACTTCTTGTGTAATAAACTTAGTCAAAGACAGGCAATGGGAAAGCACAAAAATTAACAAGAAAGAAGATAAATAAAACATAAAATGGATAGGGAGATTAAGTTATGAATGAGATGTTTCAAAACACTATAATATCCTAGAAACAATAGCAAAGTTCAGCAAGGCAGCAAACAACAAATGCTGGTGAGGTTGTGGAGAGACTGGAGCCCTTATTTAATCTGCTGGTGGGATTGTAAAATGGTATAATTACTATGGAAGGTCATCTGATGTTTTTTCAAAAAGTTGGAAATAGAAATACTATTTGACCCAGTGATTACACGACTGGGAATAACCCTAAATGTATGCACACCGTGTTTATTGCTTCATTATTCACAATAGCAAAGAAATGGAAGCAACCCAAGTGCCTATCAATAAACAAATACAATGGAATACTACACAGCACTGAAAAACAAAGAAATAGTAAATCATTACACAACATGGGGGAGCCTTAAGGGCATTATGCTAACTGAAATATCTCAGTCACAAAAGGACAAATACTGCATATCACCACTGTTATAAAACAGGACAGACAAGAGGGAGTTGGAGAGAGGATGGAGAAAGAGTGGATAGATAATGAACACTGCATTAGACCAGATGAGGACAGGAATTGTCTGAAATGAGTTTACGACTATACATTATATGTATGAGAACAATCTGAAATAGGGGCACATTGTGAGGTGGGCTGGAGAACGGGAGGGAGAGAATGTGCACCAATGAATAAACGAAAGGGGCGGAAGCACTATGATGGCAGTTTTCTCAACAAATTGACATTAGAAAAATAAAATAATCATATAGACAAAAAAATAACATTTAACATTGTTGTTGTTGTTGTTATGTGCCGTCGAGTCGTTTGCGACTCATAGCGACCCTATGTACAACAGCCCTCAACCCTGCTCTATCCCGTGCCAATCTCATTGCCTCTGACACACCCATCCCGATTACCCCAGTCACTGAATCAATCCACCTCACAGAAGGTCTTCCCCTCCTGCACTGTCCCTCTACCCTCCCAAGCATGATGTCCCTCTCCAAGGACCGGTCTCTCCTTACATGTCCAAAGTATGTCAGGCGAAGCCCCAGAATCCTTGCCTCCAAGAAGCAACCTGGTTTAACCCTCTCTAGGATGAATCTGTTTGTTTTCTTGGCAGTCCATGGTACATTCAATACTCTTTTCCAGCACCACAGCTCAAAGGCGTCAATTCTCCTTCTATCCTCCCTAGTCATTGTCCAACTCTCCGATGCATAACAAGTGATTGCAAAGACCATGGCCTGTATCAGGCACACCTTAGTCTCCAGAGAGACACCGTTGCTCTTGAGTACTTTACATAAACAAAAGTTCATTTGAGACCGTGAAATCTAATTACAAATCTTCTAAATGGGTTAGTTGGGGTCAAGAAAAAAAATGTGAGTTGAGATTTAGAAAAAAAATGTCTAACCTGCTACTCAATGTCACCTGAGAACAAGAACAAAACCTAGTAGCCACTGCCTGG